CTGAGCCATTTGAGCTAAAATTATTGGCTTTGGCTGGGTCATAGATGAGCTATCAGTGTGCACAGATCCTTACAAATTGCTGCTGCTTAGCTTAGACCTTTTTACAACAGTCCAGAGATATGTGGGTATATTTGGAAGATAATCAAAACTAGAATTTTGCTACTTGGGTTCAGAGACTTCTTGCTATGGGTGAATGAGAGCCTAAAAGAAGAGGACTGAAAGCCCAGTCAGTGCCATTTTACATATACGCACCAGCATACGAAGCCTAAGATCAGTAACCTACAGAAGACTTCTGAGATGTCAAGCCATTTGGGCTAAAACCCAGCAAGATGTTGGGTGAAGTGTCAAGGTACACACAGGGCTGTAGGAATACTGAGGAAGACCCCTACTCCTCTGATGGGGAAGCATTTTTCTCTGGGGTGCTCAGCATTCTAGCCTACATAAAGCAATGTATTGATTCTTCTGCCCTTGTCTCCAGATAGTCCCTAACCTTCCCTGCGAATGCAAGCAGAAATGGTGGTTCAGCCAAATTATAAAAAGATAGTTTGTACTTAAAATTTGTGGTTTTATTGCTCCTTCTTTGGGATTGCTTAAACTCTTCTCAAAACAAATAATCTTGCTTGTAAAAAGGCGCTTCTATTTTTTTTTTAAATTACATGACTGGGCTGATTTATTTTCCTTATTAGGGCAATAATACATCTGTTACGGGGTTAGGTCAATTTATAAAATTATAAATCTGGGAGAGAAAAGGTCTCAGCCCTTTCCCACAATAAGCATTTGTTCATATTGGAGAGTTCTTGTTTACAGTTGCGCAGATTCATTATTTTGTAGGGGAAAAGCAGCCTGGAAAAGTAATACTCAACATAAGCCATGTTAATATGTGGCTGTACCTTTCAGGTTTTCTTGAGCAAAGCAGTCTACAGCTGTGACGTTCAGTATGAGCTGAGTTCTCCATGTGCACAGCTCCGTGTGCGTGTCTCAACCCTGCTGAGTACAATGGCAAAGGCACTGGAGCTTTTATTGATTATGTAATAACACAAGTATTTTTGAGAGGGGCTCTGTCTCACAAGACCTGTTTACATGCGTATAACCTCTTGACACCCTAGTGAGTTTTCAAATTAAGACATATTAGTGTTCACTGCAAGCATATGATTGCTTGAATTGTTGCAGAATAGATGTAAAATTATCTCGTTGGAGTCGCTTTATCTTGGCTGATCAAAACACCTCACAAAGATTTTTCTAAGAATATGTGATTGGAATAACAACTTTGCATGGTGTAGAGTTCCATGCTGCAGCCGAGAGGCATGTAAATACAAGCTGCTTATTTGCAAGAAGCTTCCAGATTTGCAATATGATTGCTATGGAAACCACACAATGAAAACCTTATAACCATCTGTGTGGTTTGGTAGATTTTGCTGCATAGCTGAGCTGTTTTTGTTTACTGTTATGAAAGTGTTGAGCAGAATAGATTAACCCAAAAACCAGGATTATCCAAGGTATATTAAAGCTCTGAAATGACAAAGTCTATCTCAGAGGATACAACGTAATAAAATACTTTATTAATTGCATTAAATTAAGATCAAATATATAAAAATGGATTAGTAGTGTATTGGGAGATGAAAGCGGTAAGTTTATGCATATTTCTAATGGCGATACCACATTCCATTGAAGGAATGCACTGTTCAAGCCAAGCTGTAATCCATTTTATACTGAAGAAGTCTGCATTTTTTCCCTTTAAGAAAAAGAAATTGGAAGAAAAATCAATGGCTTCCTGTCAAAAACTCAGCTAGCATAGTATTCATTGCTCACTTCTTAAACTGTATGGATGGTAGAATCGTATATGTTTGGGGGATTATTTTTATTTTTCTCTTTTCGTACTGAAAATAAGAAAATTTCAGCACCTTTTCAGCAGCTTTCATGGACAGAAGCACCCCTTAATAAACATAGCTCCTTTTTCAACTGCCACTAAAAGATTTTTTTTAACTGTTTGCTGGTTAGGGTTTCTGAGGAGTGGTGGAGCACAGAACTTAACCTGCATCTCAAGGAGCTGTTCTTTGGGTCTACAGATCAGGAAGAATTCGCTGGTTTGACTAGCATTCCTTTGACACAGTGAGAAGGTAGAGGAGCATATTTTTTCACTGCAGTGGTAATGGTGAAGAAGCGATACTGAGGAAGCATTGTGCCAGGCCTGCATTTTAAAGGTCTGCATGACTCCTCTGGCACAATATCTTAAGAAGGGTCCTTCTGGGTGTGATTTGCATCTTTTGACGCTATTGCATGTTGTAACCCAAACTTTAGTAGTTTTAGTATGTCAGCTTTGAGCAAAGCAGTAGCTCTCTGGCTATCTGAGACTAATGTCTTTGAAAGGCATCTCGCAAACTGTCACTGCTTCAGGAAATAGTGCCAGGAAACACTAGTAGGAACCGTAGGTTCTCTTCTCTATCCTAAACAAAATCTGTTAGATCTACACTACTGTGGCTATGACTGCATTATCTGGTAGTCTCGGCCATTCGAAGCATTTGTAAAGCTCAGGTTTGCGCTGAGGCCATGCTGTTTACACTATGCACTTTTCAGAAAGGTTTTGCTATAGAGCGTACCTACTCATTAGTCATTGCCCACACATTACATTTAGTCAGGGTCTGCGTGGGCAGAAAGTGCTTGAGTCTGTAGCTTGGTCCTGGAGGGCCTCTTCTGGCCTCATTGCATCTGCAGGGAGTCTAGTCCACCCACTCTTGGGCAATTCTTTGGGGGACACCAAAGCATGAGAAGTGGAGTGGTGGCATCGCAACCACCCTGCTAGTGCGGATATGCACTGTTCAAATCTGGGACCTTCTCACTGTTGAAAGAACTTTGGCTTAGACATTTTTTTTTCTCTTCTTCAGATGCAGATCTCATGACCTCTTGTTTCTTTTTTATTAAGTACATGTTTCAGGAACAAGAATGACAATGATCTAACTTTTTATATGAAACCACAATACTACAATTCAATTATATCTGTTATGAAAAATCTCTTGAAACCTCTGCTACTTTTTTTTTCTTATTTGAACCCTTGCCAGAGCAGAATTCTGTGCGCCAAATAGTTTGATGATGATGGCAGTTATAAAGTTAAAATCCACAGTATGTTCAACATGGGAGTTCAGCATTGATGCTGATCCAGAAATCTTTAACATTTAATATCAGCTTTTTTTTTTTTGATGTTTAATATTCTGTCCGTTAAATTAAACTGTGGGTTCCAGTTTAAAAAAAAAAAAAGAAAAAATCCCTAGAAAATGGTGACTGGCAATGGAATAATACAACCTGTGAGTGGTGCAATTGTGATACAGAAGCTGCAGAATGACAGTGCCTCCTAGTGCTCTGAGCAGCACCGGGGGTGTGTTTGTGCCATTTATGTGCCTATTTTAAGTGTTTAAACAAATGAGCGTATTTGGAAATGTGTCACAAGTGGTATGCCAGCTGGGGGAATACATTTAAGTGCAGTAAATAGTTTGGAGTGTTTTGTGTTGTATCACAGCTTCAGACTTTTCCCATTCTATTGTTTTTTCCCTTTGGCTCAAGGAATAGTTCGTATTCATCTCAACCAGACTTCTAGCTCATCAAGCGTCAGATGGCAAAACTGTTGGTGGCTTAGCAGGGCAGAAGTTCAAAGCCCTTTGTAGAGTGAATCTCATGATGTAATTCTAATATTTGTAGGGCTGCGTATATAGGTTAACAAACAATTATGCGTACTCATTTCAACAGGTCTACTCTTGTGCTTTAAACATCTGCGTTAATGTTTGCAGGAACCGTCTTGTGGGTAAATTAAGTTTTTACAAGGCTAAAAATCCTTTGAACTGTTGATGGAAAATTCATTCTTTGTCAGAGCAGATTGTACATTTTTGTGGAATTTGCTTATGAGAGTCATTTTAAAAGTTGTGCGTTCTGTGTCAGTTATCTGTTGCTGAAATACATACTTTAAAAACTAGCATGAATGTCATTATAAGATGTGATGAGTAGCAACAGCAATTTAAAATAATTCAAAAGTATTGTTCTAGTCCTAGTCTATAAAGTAGGCTTATCAATACACTATTTCCTCAGTCAGTACAGCAGCTTTGACAGTTGGGGTGTTCTGTAACAGCCAAGATAAATCTGTTTCTACTTCCTTTTGACCTAAGAAAAAGAATACAACAAAAAAAGAACTCATGGTTCGTTCCTTTTTTTTGCCTTGCCAAAATGACTGTTGGCTGCAAAGTGTGTCGAGTAGTTCTTGTGTGCCATGAATGGAGTGTGGATTTACTAAATGAGGGTATGGGAACGAAAGGCTTCCATGTCTGTGTTGGACAAGAAATATATGTAGCACATCTTAGGAAATTGTGGTGGTTTCGGAGTGTTCCAAGCCTGTTAGCCAGAAAACGTGATTTAGGGCGGATCGCTGCCAGGCTTGCTCATTTTTTTTGCCTCTCCTAAGCTTGCACTAAGATACTAATACAGTTTGGTAGCTTAACTCCGTGGGCAGCTGCAGCAGGCGGCAGCAGCAAGTGCCGGGGTCTGGCCAGGTGTGTGTCTGCCAGCGCTAACAGGAGATGGGCAAAATGTCCCCTGGCCTCTCTGCACACTTCTGATTAGAACATTTGAATTCTTGCACGGGCCGGCATCGTTTTGGTTGCTGCGTTTCTTTCCTTTATCCCGGCAAGAAGTGTATGTAGCAGAGCAAGACCCTCATTCTGACTGTCCGGAATGACTGAAAAACAGCAGAACTGCAGCTCTGTGTTACATATTCAGAGCAGATTGAAAAGGGAAACAGATGCTCACAACTGAGAGTTTGAAAGAAAGCCTTTGGAGTGTTTGGATGGGTAGGGGAAACCACAGAAATAACAATCCTCCAACTTTTGCACAAATACATGATAGTAAACAGGGTTTATGAACTGGAATTGTAGAGTGTGGCTTTCAGGCTGATGGGGGCTGTAATTCCTGCCAGGCGATGCATGCCTTCAGAGTTTCACTGGCTGTTATGTGTTTTGCAGAAGAGGAAAGTGTTCCTCCCAAGACTGAAGTGCCAAGAAAACCGAGCCAGGAGAAAGTAACCATCGTTTCAGGTAATCTGACACAATTTTAAACTTCTTTATTTTTGTATGCAATTTCTTTTTTCCTTTATTTCCTGGTACCTTGCCTTTACTGTTTTAAAATAATGTTTTTACAGCTCTGTAAAGTTGTCTTTTTCATCTGGGTATTTGATGGCAGCAAAACTGCTTAGCACCACTTAGGATGCACGAAAACCACTTGAGAAGGATTTATAAAGTAAGCCAATTTATACAAGGTATTCCTTCCTGAATTACTTTGTAATGACTCAATTAGCTTTCATTTCTGCACAAAGGAGATTTAGTTGCATAAATTAGCTTATCATCATTGAGGAAGTGTCACTGCTAAAGGACAGTTTATAGATACAACATGCAGTTGCTGTCAAACCTATAAGAATGTAATATAGACATCTGTGTATACTTTGTGCTTGAGCAGAACAGACTTCTGCCATTCAGAGACTAACAGGGGACAACAAGTTGCCCAAGGGACTGGCAATGTAGACGTCTCTGAAAAGGTCAACTTGACACAGGCTCTGACAATCGACCCAAAGCTCTGTCTTCTTTGATAAAAATCAGATAAACTTAAGACCACTAATTGATCTGCAGCCTGTTTAAATGTTGGCCATGCATATCTTCATTGCATATGATTACCACAGAAAGCAAATGAATTGGGAAAGAAATGCCAGAGTCCAGTGACAGCAGCATAAAAATTGGAAAAGGACACGAATGCCCAGAAAGGCTGTGAAGGATATTCTCTCAGTTCTAGCTTGGCAAAATGCCCTTGTGCTAATTATCTCTGGGACTGGAAAAAATAACTGCACGCACCATGTAAAGTCTCATGGCCAGACAACTTTTCTTGACAGAAAGGTATTTCCAGTTATGCTTAAAAACAAGATATATATGTGCTTCAAGGGCAGAGACCTTTAGATAAACCACTGGTGATTTGACACAGCAAGTAGCAAAGACTTGCTGCTTATCAGACCTCAAGCCTTTTTGAAAATCTGCTGCATTGTAACTGTGACCTGCATTGACATGCAGTCTGGCTCACCTTCCCTCTTCGTCCACGATGCACATCATTCTTTCAGGGCTGTCAAGGAAAGGGTGGGCAAGAGGAGTTCCTTTAGGAAGTAGCTTTGCAGGGCTCTTCCTGTTGCAACATGTGGAGAGGAAACAGAGGCCTGATTTCCTGACCCATACAGGAAAGCAGGAACAGGTTGCTGTGAAGAGTTTTGGGTTGCTTTTCTTGGAAAGGAAGCAAGAGCTGAGTCATCAGATGCTGTTAGGGTAGTGCTCTGCTAAAAACATGTATCAAACAACATAACTCATTAACAGTCAAGGCATTTAGTTCTCATTTCAACATTACCGTAATTACAGGAGTGCATTGTCATAACGCGGTGTAGGGTCAATCCAATTATATATATTTTTAGATAATATACCGTCTTCAAAAAGTGATCTAAATGATCATACTTTTAAGAAATCAAAACATTAATTTTTGAAAACTTTCAGCTCATATGAAAACAGCTCTGTTAGTCTATTAGTATTTATCTAATGTCCTTAAAATAGCGTAACAGTTCTCTCTAGGCCTCAGATTCATTTCGAGCAGTATTTTTAACACTGTAAGAAAGCAGTATCTGATCTTATTTGACTAAGTATATAACACTAGAAACTGTTTTGCCATTTAAATCTGTGAGTTGACACAATTATTCCTGTTAAGCATCTCATCATAAGTATCTAACCTTATTCAAGAATATCCTATATTTTTTCCATAAAAATAAAACATGCACTCTTAAATTTCATTTACTGCCTGGCTTTACTAAATCTGAATTTCACAGATGACCTTCTACAAATAGTAAACTCAGCCTGTTGATGAAGGCAAAAAAAATTTCTTGTCTACTGATTTTTTTTTTTTGTTTCTGCTTCGATTAATGTACAGACTCCAGAATTCTCCTCATCTTTCAGTCTTGGTGCTGACTGTTGCTGCTGAATAGTTTTTGTGTTAACTACTAGTGAGCTAGTTATTTGAAAATACCTAGGTGTTGGAGGACTTCAGATGTATAACATGGCTTGTTGGGTCTTTTTTGCTACAATCATCTACCCATTTTCATTTCACAGCCACTGTTGTTTTAGTAAGTGCAATAAAAAGTGGGTGTTGTCTTAGGATAAATACTTTGATTTTGGAGTAACTGAGGAATAATAGAAGAATGAAACTATTCTGAGAAAGATGATGCAGAGAAAATGGAGCTAGACTAGAAATTGAGTCCAAATAAATCCACTATGATTAATTAGACTTTATATTTATAATATTTCCTCTATATGGGAAAAGGGGCAAAGAAATCATTACAGGAATTCTTTGCAGTTTTAGGACAATATCAGAACAAACAAACTGCATCAACAAATTGTGTTATCTAATAATCTGTCTCAGATAAGTGAAGAGTTTGAACGCTGAGAATCTATGTCCTACGTTGAGACAGTCATTTGAATATCACTAATTTTGCACTTTACGTCTCTCTTCAGCAGTTACCTTCACTGTGGTAGATATTCAGCACATCACTGGCAAAAAAGGACACAATAATATACAGTAATTTTCCAGAAGTTCATCTTTGTAAAAAAATGTTAAGTAGTGTAAAATAGTTCGGACCACGATTAATAATCTTGAAATCTGATCTTTTTGAAGAATCTGATCAAAGTTAGAGAATATGATCAAAGTCAAGGAACTGAAAGCTTCTTAAAGATCATATTAATATATTGGACAGTAACCCAAAGTGAAAAAGGGAAAATATGTTCTTATTCTGCAAGTGAACTGTAAGCAGATAATGCGGAACTGGTAGCTCTATGTCTATACCATAGTAAAGTTTGCCAGCATTTGTGTTAAAATGGAAAATCAGTGAAAGCAAGACACAGCCATATTTATTTTACCATTTGAAACTGTGCATATCCATATTTTGGCTATAATTCCTTTTAATTATCAGCCTAGTTTTTGTGTGTGATCTGAAAAGGCAAGTGTCAAAAATGGCACAGGAGCAGATGCAGGAATGGGACAGCCCTCAGTTACATTGGCTTAGTGGTACAACACCCTTAAAACACTTAAAATGCATACTCTTAATCTGCTTTTTTCAGGTTTTGTTATTCTCCCTCTATTGTGAATACTCTTGTTTTTTTTTTTTCCTTAAGTAACCCATTGGCGTTATTAAGTTTTAACCAGTCTACAATATTTTAAATACGTGCTAGAGTAATGCATTTGTCAGAGTTTTATCTGGATTGTTGACCTTTCTTTCTTCAAGCACGTATTCTAAGGTGCCAGCATTTTTCAATCGAAGTATTTTGAGTCTACCATCAGGAAGGCTGGCAAACACTGCTGTTTGATCTATCAAACAACCTCTGAAATGTTTTCATCAGTATATTGGAGAAAAATATCTGCTGTTCCTATTACTATTACTGGAAAAACAGAGATGGCAGAAGAAGACCCTGAGGAATTCTTCATGGAACGGTTTTGAAAACTGTTGGATATATGATCCTCTGGATAACTCTCATGGATTGAAAGAACTATTTCCTGGAGAAACCGCCTATCCAAAACTGTGCTCAGCCATTTCTTGACTGATTATTTTAAAAGTGGTGGGTGGATTAAAAACAAACAGCCCCTCTACTCCCCATTTATGAAAAAGAATTTGTCATTTGATCATCTCATTCACATTTTTGGTCTCAAAGACCATGCTTTCTACTTACAACCAACTTTCATTTAGCAGTTATACCATCCACAGTATTTTTAAGGCACAAAACATATTTTACAGAGTATAATAATAGAGCAATTTTGACAGGCTAATGCCAGCAAATCAATACCTTATGAATTTAAACTCTAACTGGCACTTAAGTTCATAATGTTAAATCCACAGACTGTTTTTATGTACTGCATGTGTTTAGAAGGTCTGGGTAGTTTCCTTACCATATAAATACCAAATTCCTTTACTCAGGTCCCCTAGTTTTCTTTTATTCAATTCATCAGATGCCATCAGAAGAGATTTGGCAGGATCCTCTCTAACTTTTGAAATATACTGGAGCAAGAAAGAATGGGCTTGTGTTTTACACAGGTTTTTGCAGCATTTTTTTTTTGTTGTTGTTGTACCTGTGTTTGTAAAGAACTGTGATCATCTTCATGAATGAATTCATGAAGCTTGCTGTCCTTTGGATGTATAGATGCTGAAGGCAGGTTTTTATTTAGCATTTTTGTGTGTAGTTACTTCTAGTATTTGAAGAAACCTGTACCGGTGGGTATGAGAAAGCATTTCCAAAAGGGAATGAACACTTGCTGGAGACTAGTGTGTTTGTGCACAAGCTTATGCTGGCACTTTCACTCCCTGGTTTTCACTTCTGTGATCCTGTATATCCTTTGCTGTCTGAAATGGATGGTTAGCTGATATGAACAGCTCCTCTCATGTTGCTTTCACATTTGAAGATGCAGAGCTATGGTTAGATTCTGGGCAACATCGTCGTGGTAGCATCAAGCTTGTTTTAAAGTGAATCTTCTCCATTGTTGCCGTATCCTTAGTTGAGTTTCATTCCCACTCTGAGGCTCAATGAAATGCTCACAGTGACCGTCTAGGGAGAGACGGGCCCTGCTCACTGGGGGATCTCTTCTGCTTTCTGTGTTCCCCGTCTAACTCACATTGGTGTTAATAAGGAGTTACTTTGGGTGCATATGTGGCAAGAGCAGACCCCAAAGTGATAATCGGTGTGAAAAATCATGATTCACCTTAGTGCAACTCTGCAGATGTGCAAATCCTGATCAACCTATTAACCCAGCTCAAAAAGACAACTGCTGAAAGATTTGGAAGGCTGGGATATACCAAAGTAGCTCTTTTTTTTTTTTTTCTCACTAAGGCTTACATTATCTTTTGTGGGCTAGTTCTGGGAATTGTGGTCAATGCTGTATTAAAAAGACTGAGGATATCCTTTTATTAAAATACTACTGCAAATTAATTTGGTGCTAACCTGTATTACTGCTTTTAATTCTCATACTAAATTGCTGAATAATGAGCTGATAGACAAATGGGAAGGGTCAAAATTTGGACAGGCAACATTTCAAACCAATTACATTTTCCTCTTGCGATTAAACTATCTACATATTTTACAATACCAAATCTCTTATTTATAAATAGATGAGATTTTTTTTTAATGTATTGCTGGTTTTGATGTGATGACAGAAGAATTTGTGCACTGATAGTCAGAACGCCCTCTAGTGCTATGTAGTGAATGTTAGCCACTAATCACCAGTTTATGGAAAAATAAATGGTGGCTATCAGCAGTTTTAATTTCAAGGTTGTGAATGTTTCATCTTATGCCAGTGTTGTCATCAAAACAAGATAGCGCAGAGCACAGACTGCAGGGAATAAATGGAAAACAAGCCCTTCTTGCTCATGTAGGGAGAATTAAAATTAAACTTTAAGTATTTGTCAAAATAGAGAACAACACAAGTTGAATGCTACTTTATTATAGAGCATGACTTTTTATTTTGTTTTTCAGTCCATATTTTGGCAGGGATTTTTCAGTAATAAACTTAACCAATCGTGATTAAATTGTAAACTATAAATAATGGTGTAGAGTGTTAATGACATGCAAATGTGACTGGTATATGTTGGAATAACCAGCAAGCCTGCTGTTCAAGGATCATATAACAAAACTAAGATGACAGACTTGATCCAGCCAGTTCAGTGATATTTATGTTATCAGAATAGGAAGATAGCTTTCCAGTGATGTAAATTATTAGTACATATACATTCTGTCTGGTTAGTGTATACATAATGTAACTGGTCATCTTAGTGGTATTGCTTACATTCTTTTTGCATTAACTCATCACACTCCATTCTCATGGAATTAAAAACAGGAAATAGTTTGCAGTGTAACAGAAGCACCCAGTGTATTTAACCATGTGTAAGTGCTGTGTTTGAATAGATGAACTCTGTATTGTAAGTGCATGACAAAGCATTTATTACTGTGTTATTGCCGTATTACAGAGCAAAGAGTGCTAAATAATCAATCAGTTAATGGTCTGTATGGCAGCTTGAGCACAGCACATCCATTGTGCTTATGCTGTTAGAAGGATGAGTTTATGACGCTGGTGTAGTTGCATGTTTAGCCAGAGCTTAATGTCCTAAACTGGAGCTGACACAAATATTTTTATAATGCAGCTTCAGCAAACAGTTTCAAAGTTCTCCAATGTTTCAGAAGGAGCAATCCAAAATTATCTAAAGGGTTCTCAGAGAAGCTACTTCATGTTTTTGGAGCAGAAAAGGGAGGGGGGAGCCTATCACAAAATACTTGCTTTGGCTTCCTTTCACAGGTTATTATTAATTGCACTCTCGCCTTTTTATCACTTTCACGTTGAGATATAAATACGACTTGCTGGAAATATATTAGCTGCTCCAAGTTGCAGCTGTAAAATGCTTTGAAAACCTGTAGCTACATGTCTTTAAGTGATACAACTGCTGCCAGTGAGGGGCTCCCACATTAAGCTTGGTTTCCACTTGCTTTTGTGGTATGAAGGAGCTGTTTTTACAAAGAGCATTAAGAAAATGTGCTGTAATAAATTGCCCTGTAGTGTCTAGAGACTTAAAGCGTAATTTCCGTCCCTCACAGTCCTTATCCTTTTGTAATTAGATGCTGTGTTTTCTCTGCAGATGGTAAAAATACCGATTATGCTAATTTCTACCAAGGTTTGTGGGACTGCACAGGAGACGTACCTGATGAGCTGACATTTAAGCGTGGTGACGTTATCTACATTCTCAGCAAGGTACAGCATGCTGTCGAGACTAAATAGTTGTGAAAGGAGCCGTGGTGGAAGGGCAAATTCCCACACCACTATGGGGGGAAACTGGCACTCCCTTTCGGATCCTTTGTTTGCAATCAGATATTCCCCGCAATTAATTATTTTGTCAACTGGCTTCTAATCACATTTAAAACATAACCATGTAACAGGAATTAACTTAAAAGCATGTTTATTTACCCGTTAAATCCTGGCTACCGTTTGTTAACTGGTTTAATGGGAGACAATGGGCTTTCTGCTTGTAAAAGTTAACCTTGTAGGATTTTATATTATCTTGTATGTTATGGTTTTTGTTTCCTGTTTTATATTCCTGACTCTGCTGATTCTGGCTTCTTGGGCATGCTGCTCCTGAAGGCGGCTTGTTTTTTTCCGTCTCTGCTTTCATCTTTGTCTGTATTTTGCAATTCTGAATTTGTTTGCCCTGACAGATACAGGCAATTTTTAATTCACTCTTTTCCTGTTTGCAAAGCAAATGGTAGATTTAATTCTTCTGGTCTAAAATGGTGCTAAGTAGTATAAGGCTCGAGGTTTTATTTTATTTTAATGTTCAGTATTTTTCCTATTTTTCTCTTAAAAAAAAAAAAACTAAAAAGAACATTCTTAAAATCTATCCCAGTCCATTGAAGTCTACTTCTGAACAGGTAGGAAAAGAAGAAATTTTGTCTTCCCCACACATTAGAGGAAAACTGAGCTTTTCTACTTTTTGTTAAAATACCACAAACTGTAATATATGTAGAATACATACCCCCGATGTGGTTGCCATTCGGTATAATTCAGGTGGCAGATATTGTAGGTCATTGAAATATGTAAGTAGCTGCATGAAAGCTAAGTCATCTGTTTGTATTAGTTTCAAACTCTTCAGTTTTGTCACAAGTGCTGTAAATCTTCTCTGCTACCTTTAACTGCCGTGTTTCTGGATAATAAATGTACAGCTCCTGTTTAAATAAATTTAAGATTTATGAGTAGAAAGGTAGTCCTATATAAAAATATAGAAGATATATTACCAGTGGTAATGTGACCATGTATGTCTTTTGAAGTATTTCATTGTCACTTAAACTAATAACTGAATTACATTACTAAAGGTAGGATAACACTTTTTGATTGGGCAGACTTTTGTGCAGTTATATAGCACTGAGGAATAGTAGTAATTTAAAATAACCACCTCATCCCTTTCTCCTGTCCTCAGAAAAGAACAAAAACAAACAAACAAACAAACTCCTCAATAAACAGGTCCCCCCTCCGGTTCATGCCAGCTGCTTTGTGGATTGTACCTTTCTGTGGGGGCTATGGGGACTAATAAAATCTTAATCTTAGGATGTAGGTGGAAAAATCACTCTTTACCTCCTTGGCAAAATTGTGAGAAATTTAAGTAAAAAAAAAAAGGAGCAGAATAGAAAAGCAGTGGCTTAAGCTGTGCTGTGTACATCAGCCGCCGCGTGCTCCGGCCTTGATGGATCCCCGCAGTCCTTGAAGCCGCCGGCTGTTGCTCCAGACAGATCGAACCTTTCGCTCTGCGAGTGATTTCTGCTCCAGAACGGAGACCAGCAAATTCAGTCCCTGTTCACTTAAAGATTGTTACAGCTTCTTCAGAAAAATGAGCGCAGGCCACTCTTGTCAGCTCTGAATTTAAGGTCCTCGGAGGAGAAAGTGCCACAGAATTTATCCATCTCGACTGTCCCCTTGATTCAGTTTCAAGGTCTGGCCATTTACAAGCCCCTGGTTTGATGATGAGGGAGATATAACCAAAGCAGAAGTGAACCGAACCATCCTGAAGTAGGTCAGGACTTTGCTTCAGAAAATATTTCTTAATCCACTACATTAATACTGGATTTTTGTGGCAGCCGGCAGGCGTACTTGGCAAGCGTATATATATATTTTTTTACTTTTTCACACCATCTAGTGGTTGAAAATGAGAGATGCAGGTACTGGCAGGGGATGATGTGGATAGACCCAAAATGGTGTCATAAATTCAGCCTCGGCTTGCACCCAGCTATGCTTATTGCCTTTCTGTCATATGTCAGGCAGGTATGAACATTACTCTGGAAGAAATCGTATTTTGCTGATTTGGAAGTAAGTAGAGGTATAGCAGTACAGCAGGAAGGATTAAGCATTGACAATGTGTTGAGAATATTTCTGTAAAATTTATTAGTTCTCTGTTTTACAACGAAACGTAAATGACATAGCATGATCAAACATTCTAAACATGGTTATATATATATATATATATATATATATATATTTAGATTCCAGAAATTTCTACGCCAAAGCCATGTAATTTTACCTGTTTTTTTACATAGCTTTGCAGAAATTAAGGTGGAAAACTGACTATTTCATTTCCAAGGAACAAGATCATTAGTACAACAGAAGTCATTATGAACCAATTCGGAAAATACAGGCATTGATACAGATTAAGCAAGATGAGAAACATGTTACATTTAAGTTTCTAGTTGAATACCTTTTGGCAGAATACTCAAGATTTCAGTTTGGCAACATTTACTCACTAAAGTAACTAGCACAGCAAAAAGACAAATCCTCCTTAATTTAATTTGTTCTAGGCCTCAAAATTCATCGTTAATGTAATGAGCACAGTCTGCATGCTTTTTAAGATGCATTTGAAAATCAGTTGAGCTAATCTCCAAATATTTATGTCTTTTATGTCTTCTCCACGACAGTATCCCGTGCTCCCCAAATAATTTTTTGGCAGTTTTAACCTTTATTTCCTTCAAAAATTAGTTTTTAATATAAGCAGAATTAAGCAGGATTGCTTTTGTTATTTTTCTAATGAAAGGGAAATTAACTTTTCATATTAATTATCACCATATCTGTACAGATACACTCAATATGATTTTATTATTTCAATTTATAACATTTCTGAGTAATTTAGTGCCTTTTGAAACCTACCCTATGAACTGTGTGATCTTTTAGAAATTTATACTGCCTCCCCTTTCTCCTTTTGCAGTACAAAATATTTTATAGCTATACTGATAGAGGGACTTTTAAAGATTTCTCAGTTAATATTGACTATGTGAAATGCAATACTTTGGCATGTCCCATTTTAGAAAGGGATGATTGCTTTCAACTCCTGCTCGCTTATGGGCTTGCCTTTGCTTTCAAGTTCATATGATAAGTGGGGAAATAACCTGTGGTGTAACAATCTGTTTTACAAATCTTCATAGCTCTTATTCCAGAAATCAATTTTCAGAAGCAAAGCCAACTGTGAGTGTTGGTAGCTGTGTTTTTTTTTGAGTTTGGTATGCCTTGAATTCAGGATATTTATACAGTTTACATAAGCGTGGCAGTCTCAGTATTTATTTATTTGTTTTAGGTGGAATGCTTCATGTTGGAAAACTAGTTTCATCAGCCAAACGCAAGTAGTAGTGGAAATTTACTTAGACATTAGCAGGCTCCTGCTTAGCAGAATTACCAGCATATCTTAACTTTTAAACTAATTTAATTCCCATCAAGTTTAAATTTATATTTTCATTAAAGCAACAAATGAGACTTAAAAGTCAAAAATTGTATTTCGAATTGGCATACTGCTGCCCTGTTATTACTTCAGTACATGCCAATGCAGTATAATTCCACTCACTCTGGTATTTATGATCCATGGAAATCGCATCTATGACTTAACCCTTTGCTTTAGAATTCTTCCTTAGAGTGTGAACTCAGTGTCTGGATCACCCTGTGTTTAGTGGTGTTGTGCATTTGCAGCGGGGCAGATTGCTGTTCCTTCAACACAACACATGTTTGCTAAAATGGTCACATCTGAACCTCTATTTTTCTTGTTCAATGAACAGGCAGACAAAGAAGACTCCACAGCTCAGGTTACTGCTTATGAAATAAAGCACAACTTAATAGTGCAGGTCCTTCTTGCCGAGCGAAAGCCTCTTGTACACTATATGCAAAATCTTTTTATCTAAGTGTATTTCTTCAGTGTTTTTTTCTTAAGGATGTGAAAGGCATACTGAAATTTTAAGTGATTATTTTTTTCAGGCCTCTGTCTGATTGACTATTGCGAGAGCTGTATTTAACAGGAATTTGGCTTCCCGTGAGCATCACACAGGCTTTGTCTACGGAGGCAACCAGCGTGGACCCGTGGGAGCAGATTTGCAGAGCGGAGGGCGTTGTGCTTGAGGGCCTGGTGTCCTCTCTGCACGTTTTTCATAAGCTTTAATGTCAGAATAGGTCTGCTTGTTTCTGTTGACTGAGTCCACGTCAGTGGTTGGAGCACATTAAAGTGCACCTTCCATTTTAGCTTCATCTGAAGGAAATACAGTTTGTTTTATGTGACTGTTCCGCAGAGTGCCTACTTCAGTAGGACACTTACGATCAGGCCTAGAATGCAAATGTGGATGCGCTTACTGAGTTTGAAATCTTCTTTTTCTTACCTGTCTAGGCGTGTTTCTTACACAAAGATAAATCTCATTCATGGTTAAATTTAAGTCCGCTCTTGTGAAGGCCTTTAAGTGAAAAGTTATTTAATGCAGACTAATACAAAGTGACTGTAGCTGTTGGTTTGCATACTGTTTAACAACATGTAAGCACTTACCTAACCAGTCAGAAACATTTTAGCATTATGACATATGACAGTAAAAACAGACCTTTCAGTCATTCTGAGCTGTTTTTAGGGGCCAGTTTTGGTTTAGAACCCAGTCTGCTTATCCTGGTTTGTAATGGAACTTTTTAATTGGTGTCTATTTTGTTTCATGTCATTGCAGGAAATAAAACCTAATAATGCTGTCATACAATAAATCTGAGGCTTGCATTCTTAAAGACGACCATTTTATTGCTGTTTTAAAACAGCTCTCCTACCTGTGAAGAAGTCTCATTCGGTTGTCTAAAGCATTTGTCATTTTCTGCTTTTTAGAGAAAATGCTGTTCTGTGCCAAAAATGCTCCCTAGTTGATCGTGTATCATTCAGCAATTACACCAAAGGAAGTTCTAAAATTTTTCAGCTAGCCTGAATCTCCTGGATGAATTAGAGGTGTTTAAAAATATTATCTTGCCAAAATTGGCCCCTAGGATATTATTTTTAAAAATTCTGTATGCTTCCCGCACTACTCAGGCTTGATAGGAGAGGCCATTTATTTTAACCACAAGCTGGGTAATAGAAACATTTTGGTTTTCGGTTTTAGAATTTGCAACTCATTGATCTATAAATTAGTATTACTAGTAATGCTATGGGAGAGGGAGAGAGAAAAAGCCTGAGTTCACACACTCCGGTTGTGTATTTGTTTTTAAAATACAAGTCCATTGTCTTCTTCAAGGCATTGAAACACAATGATGATTTTCAACAACTCTTTAAAAAGCAAAAAACAATCAAAAAATACCATATGTATTGAACAATAGAGACTAGTTGCACAAGGACCAGATGTTCTCAAATTTTGGTGAAGTCACTAGAATTTAACACGGTGCAAAGCATCTGCAGAAGCACATTTATTCAGAGGATCTGCTCTTAAAGGTAAGAAGAGAATGCTAGAGAGGATGTCCTCTTGCAGGTCAAAATTCTCCTCTGTACAGTATAAAGATCTTGGATTTAAAAGATCAAACATACGTGTGAAACAGAGGTAGTATATTTCTATGTACTGTGCTTTCCCCTAGTGCAAAAAACTTTTAAAATCAGTGTCTTGTGGAGCCTTACTGCAATGAAGCTGGAGGCACGGGGGTATGCAAGGAGAAGCATCTGCTCGCAGTGTGTTCAGCCTTCTAGGAGGCCGCAGCTCCTCCCCTATCATTGCGTGCCGCATAGGGAATGTTTTGCCAGCATATTAAATGTTCAGACACAACCTGTTCCTTGCTGCCTCCTGAAATTGCTTCACGTTTATTTAATAATTTTCTGCTGGAAAATCCACTCTGCATTACAGACATTGAAAACATAGAAGTGGCTTCAAAAGCCTTCGGCCATTTGTCAGAGTTGGATTATTGGCCTTAATATATTCTGCCAGCACTGGTGCCTGCAGTGCAGGGGCTGCGCTGGCCTCTGCTCCCCCGCAGCGGGTATGTGCACGTGCACACACACATGCACATGTATGTGCACACACACACACACGTATGTGCACACACACACACGTATGTGCACACACACACGCACACAGACTGCCGGGTGGTGAACGTGCCCGGGGTCAGTGGCGTGGTGCACGTGCGGCCGCACACTTGTGCATTCCCCTCGTCGCAGCGCGCCGGGCTCCGGCCCTGCCCCCATCTCCCGCCCCTCTCCTCGCCTCCGAGCGATTCATTTTGCACTTATTGAATTTCTTTGGCGAGTTATTTTCATACAGCAAGCATCACAGCACCTCTGGATCTTGATAGCATTTCTACATAAGGAGAAAGCAGCTTTGTGTTAGTAATTACCTAACATTGTCAGGAGCTGACTGCAGGCCTCTTTCTAGTGATAACAGAATAACCACATAATGTAGCTTTATAGCACATGATTAATAGAAAATAATTACACATCCTACAAAGGGATGCAATATTTCTTATAAATTGACTACAATGGTTTCCTGTAGATTAAAGGACTCTTCATTATTTTATCAGTCCTTCTGAAGTATAGTCGCTTCCCTATGTTAGCAGTGATGTTAAAGAGCTGAATGCAGTGAGGGATACCAGATGGTGAACCTAGTGGTACCTGAGATCTTAAGCTGATGCTTGCAAAAACACTGTGCTTCCCAATGCCTAAGAATCAGTATAAAAACTCTTAATTGTATTCATACCCTGCTCCATTTTCATTATCATTTCCCACAAATGTGGGCTTTAGATTTTTATTCTACACATCTTCAAAAGCAGGGATAAACATGAGAACTCCACGACAATGGCGAATCAGTTGAGTTCCATTGTCACTAAGTAGTTCATCATTGATAACAGTGATAGAAACAATACATCAATTTGGGTTTTATATGTGAATGCAAAAAGGGAGTGGGGGAGACTGCTTCACTATCTGGCTGGTACTGAGGACAGAAAGGAATGGTTAAGAGCTCAGGGAGGAATACGTGTAGCTTAATCAACTTACAAGGGACTGCAATGTAATTATTCTAAAACCTGAGATTATGGTATTATATTCTTGATAACCAGGTATCTGTATTATATTTTTATTCAGACTTCTATAGACTGGAAATAGTTTAATTGGGATTCATGTTGCTCTTGAGACCTATACAAAGAATACTAATGATAAAGTAAAAGCTTCTGCATTGCAATCTTGTCTGTATAGTGTAATGGTTGCAGTGAATCCTTAAATGAGTTTACTAGTCTGTTATATCAACATTCATTTCATCTTCTCACTTAGTAATATACCACTTACTGCTCTGGCATGAAGCTAAGTAGCAAGAAACAGAAAGTTCTCAAAACTGCAGGCAGGCTCTTAATTTTAATTTGAGATATCTGAGTTGTTCCTTAAAACCTCATTATTTTTAAGTTCATGTAGTGTTGCTAAGTGGAACATTTTCAGTGGATAATACAGTCCACAGGCTTTTTCTGTGCCATTTGTCATAAGCAGTTTAATGACCACTTCACTAAGCCACTTCCCTCGTTTCATGTATTGTTTGTTTTTTTGGCTGATGTCTAGCAAAACTTGCTTAATCACTCTCGCCAGTCACTTCAGGAGTTCCATGTAGCAGCTTAAAATCTTTTGTTGCTTTCTTTTGGGGAGATTTATTGCTGAGATTCCAGTAGCATACGTGAGTACTGCTCCTTTCAGCAATTTACCACTTTAGCCTAGAAATACAGTTTGTATATTTAAGCAGTGTATTGTGAGATAAAATATATATTTTAAACAAGCTGATCTGGAACACTGTAAACCTCAGTGTCAGGATATTACTTAGCCTTTAAGGATTTGGGGAGTAATGTGTGCCCCAGGGGAGAGATTATGAGCGGTTCTTTGGAGAGCACTTTGGTCACGAAGATCAGGCTCAGATATCCCTAGACTCTCAGGCCAGACACATCCCGAGATTTCTGTCCTGCAGCAGGAGGGGGAAAAGAAGGTGGAATTATTTTTGCAGCTTCTAGCTGGGTGTATTCAAATGACAAATGAGGGCTCGCCTCCTTTTTTTTCCTATGTGGATTTTCTTTAAACCGTCCTTCCTGCCGCGTTTCATGCATGACACGATAGAACCTGTGAATCACCAACTTCTGCTTGCATTAAAAAGGCGAGTTTAATGTAAGATCGATCGTGAGCCTTTCCCAGCAAGAAAATAATAAAAGAAAAGCAGTGTGGGCGCGTGTGCCCGTGTGCGTGTTGGAAGCAGCCCGGGCCTGCCCGGACGCAGGGATCGGTGCCGCGCGGGGGTTACGGACAGGGCTCTCCCTTGCGGGAAGGGGAGCGGGGCCGGGCGGCCGGGGCGCCGGCGCTCGCCCTCCCATGGGAGCCCGTTAACCCCTCCACTCCACCTGGCTGCTCCCGAGAGAGAAACTTCACCCAGCCAAAATAACAGCACATAGGGGCTCTCGGTAGCACCATTAATTCAGAAATCTGTGGCCTTGCTTTTCTCAGCAGAGAGCGGCGTAGCAGGAAGCAGATGTCGCTTATCAGCGTTATCTGTGTATTTTGTGTTTTCCGTGTTTGTTCCAAAGTAATTTTTATCTTGCTAATCGTTCCATTTTGAAGGGGGTCTCTGTTTTAATAACGCTTTGTATGTAACTCAATATGTGTGTGTGTGCGCAATTTCAGCTGTTACAATTTATTGAACTGCTGTTAGGATTGATCTTAAAATATTTACCTCAAAGGAAAAAAATTAAATTTGGATCCCACTATACTTTTACTCGGTATAGCTTTTGGAAGGTATTATTTCTTTAAACTATTATAATTCATTTTGTTTCATATTTATCTCACTAAGCCTAAACAAATTTCAAACGAAAGTACATTAGTCATCTGTCAGACATATGAGATCTGCTGTAGAATTTTCTGCAAGCCTAAAGCAATAGTAGACTTTGTCCATAAAAAGAGACTATGTATTAGATGCATAGAGTTCCTTTACCATTGGAGCAAAGTATTATTTTTAAAAAGTTGGTTGTAAGTTCCCTAGAGTTTTGCCTTGTGAAACTGAAAGCATCTCAGTTGGTAGCATTGTTAGATTAGTTACAAGGACAAGATGTTTATGCCTGTGAAGAATATAGGATGGAGAGATCAGCTATTTTTAGTATGTGTTGTAGAGAAGCGTGCCCATAATTAAGAAATTTTCCTCAGTATGCCTGGCCTTTTTAAAATTTAACTTATCTCCTTGCCTAATTCTGCCTGTGAATGCCTCTAACAAAAAGATATAATGTTTTAATTTTCAGTTGAAATGATTATAACTGTATATAAGAGGAAGCATCCATAAGGACTTGCATACAAAACTCTATTGCATTTATATCAGACTAAAGGTTAATATTGCATATTGTTTTCAATTAGGAGTACAATAGATTTGGCTGGTGGGTAGGAGAAATGAAGGGAACCATTGGCTTGGTGCCTAAAGCCTACATAATGGAGATGTATGATATTTGAGAGGCCTGGGTAAGTACATTTTAATCCAATCTTCTGTAATGGCTTATATGTTCCCTTGTTCTCTGTTTCATAAGTATTTCTTTCCTGGAACCTTTGTAGAAGTACTGTTAACATAAAGATTATGGCAAAATATATTGAAGGTTCAATTAAAGCACTTCTTCTGGGATTCTGTATGAAATATTAAACCACAGTGTGCAAAATAAAACAGGATACATTTTATAAGTGGTTTCCTTTTCATGATTTTTTTTTTTGGGGGGGGTGGGTGGTAAAATAACAGTTTTGTTACTTGAGTGATATACATATATCTGTCTATACAGAAATCTGTGGAAGGGGATAGATATTTGGACTGGGCTTTATGCGTTTGTCTGAGTCTTTTTTTGGCTAATGATGAACTGCCAACTTCCTTCTTCCTAATCAGGAGAAATCTGCAGCTGAAGCGGGGAGCGATGTGCAGCTGCAGTTCGTAGACCCAGCCTCTGAAGGAAGATTCTGCCGTACACATTTTGTGGTTTCGGTGAATGGAGTCGGAGCACGGCCTTGTGTATATATATTAAACACTGAAAACATTGAAAATTGATCAGCCGTCTGAGGAAATGTTCATCTTTTTAAAGAATTCTAACGCCAAGAAATGAAATAGGTGATAATTAACACGTGAGGTACAAGCAATCAAACACTGCCTGTTGCTTTTTGCTTACACTTATTAGCAGCTCTCCATATTTTAGAGGTTTCTGTTGTTTCATTGCACTTGGCCCTGTTTTTCTGTTACTCAAAATAAGCTGAACTCTGAAAGCAGAAAATTATTACTCACTTCATGCATGTATTAATCTTTTGATGTAGCAGTTTACTGTACATTTTGTGTGTAACTTCCTAGGAAAATCAAAGGAAATTCTTATGTAACATTGCAAGTTCTAAAGATGCTTCAAAGTGATTATTTTTACTTTTCTACAGATTTATTTTTTCCATATATTTTTAGTATTGTCAGATAATATTTTGTTATCAGAACATTTTTCAGTATCACAAAATAAAAGATTGCCTCCTTTGCTACTATAAATCAGTTGGTAATACTGCTGTGGATGCAAACAGGAATCGTGAAAAATCAGCAAAAGACTTTGATTAAGAAAAACTTTCGTAGATAAACTAACATGAGATAAATGGCAAGTGATTTTTTTCAGGGTTGGTGATTAAATATTCTTTTTTACCTGTTGCTTACAGATACTTTCTACAGAGTCAAATCTGGATATCTTGTTATAAGCGTAACCTCCGGTACAGACTCAGTTCAACATTATAGATAATAAGGGATAACTCTGGACTTATCAGTACTAAATCTAGAACTTTGTGGCAAAAAGCATCAGTGAAAACATTAAAACAAAAAAACAAAGTAAAATATTCTCACTTGTGCACAAGGGCTGGGCTGGACAAGTCAGAGTTAATGCTTTCACTCCTCGTCTTTTGGGGATGTGTTTCGCTGTGAGTTGCAAGATCAACTTTTTTGAATCCTCCCACACACTTGATTTGTGAGACCCTTAATCTGCCAAGGAGGCAGGTCAGGCCAGTCTGCGACTTGCTGAGCCTGTGCAGGTCCCCGTGTCCTTGCTTGCGCTGTTTATGCTTCAGGCAGGCCCTGGAAACAGCGTGGGTTAAAAGGTAACATTAGTTTAGAAGGATCTAATTCGGAGTTTAATAACCTAAGATGCTGTGTTTTGTTTTAACTAAATTTATTTTTCTTTCTGGTACGCAGACTTTGAGAAGGAGTCAAACAGGGTAGAAAGCTTTCCTACGATCTTTATTTTTTAAAGAAATAGTCATTGAAATTGATTCTGTATGTTATCTGCAAGGCATTAAAATGATAGATTATGGTCTTCAGATCTTCCACTACTTTTAATTCATCAAGCGTACTCGGGGCTTGTGTACAGAACGGGGAGCATTAATGCTGCGCCTATAAAAGCTCCCGCTCCCTTGTTAACACAGCAGCGTAATAAATGTGCACCCCCAAGCGTCTCCTCATTAATTACGCAGCGCCCGGAGCCGCCACCATCCCCTCCTCGGCGGGGAAAGGAGCCCCGGCAGCAGCTTTTCGTGGCACGGGAGCAGCCGCAGCCCTAGCCCCGTCCCCCTCCGGCGTCTGCCGCCCGGGCCCCGCGTCCCTTTGCTTTTGCTCCAGGAGAGGGAGTCCTTCCCCCAGCGATAGGGAGCCGTGAAGTGGCTTTTGTCTATAGTTCCCCTGGCCCTTTAGGCTTTTTTCCCCCTCATTCTTTTCCTTCCCCTCCTTTCCCAGTGCCCACGGGAGTTATATAAACAAACTGCCTTAAAATCCAGAGCGGGAGAGCTGAGAGGGATGTTCTGTGGCTCGCTGGTAGCGTCTTGGACTAAACCAACAACGCAACGCAGATAAACTGTTTACTTTAGGGCCTTGCAAATACCATAACCTTTTTTGGATAAGAAAACTGCCCTTAATACCGCTTAAACAAAACCCTGTGTTAGAAAATTGCTTTATTTACATCACTTAGGTTCCCTTTGCCTTGCTGTGAGCAGGAGGACAGCTAACTTTTTAGAAAGGGGGATAGTAAGTAATCTTCTGTACAGCATTTTACTCGATTATTTGCTCTGTTCTGAATCTGTACGGTACTGCCATTAGATCTTACAATAATGTTCTAGTCTGCAAATTTTTAAGGTTCAAATAAAGTTTAATTGTTTGCAAACTGTTATGATGCTAATAATTCAACAGCCTGCTGTGTTACTAATGAAATTACTTTGTTATGATTAATTTGGAAAATAGTGTGTTGATTGTAGTAATTAAGCACAACAAGGTGAAGTAAATGATTCTAATGCCATCTGGCCTCCAGACTGAATGAAGAAATGAAATGGGGCTGTCATTTGAATTTATTCAGAGAAGTAAGGGTAATACAAATGCGTTTTATTGCTAAGGCACCCGGATATAACCATCCCACGGCCTACAATTATTTCATGTACTTCTGCGTATAGCTGCCTCACGCATTTTGCCAGGGTCTAGTTAGGATTTACCTCCCTGTACTTGCTGCCTCTAATTGCACATGCTGACGGTGGTTTATGTGCCGGGTTCTTCTACCAGCGAGGTCTGTGGATAAGATTTAAAGACATGACGTGCATCAGCTTACCCTTTGCTCCCCTCTTACCGATAAAAAACTTGCTTTGATTAGACATAAGCCAAATGTGAACACTAATTAGGATCCCACCATATATACGAAGCCATATGCATAAACTTTGGTCTTTTTGTCTCTGCAGTTGGTGCCATGATGTAGCATTAAAAGGAGCACAGACCTTTAAAAGGAGAATAACCCTTTATATCCCGAACTGAAGACCATTGAAATTGAGAATTCCTTCTGGATCAGACTGTTAGAACAGTCAATATAGTCAATACAGTTTCAAAAAGTCTTTTCCCCAGTACTCAGTGTGTTCTTTCTGAAAGAGATGCAATTATTTTCATAACCTGAATTAAACAAAAAGGAGACTCAGTAGCCAAAAGATAGAAATGTAATTTTCTATTTCGGGTAGAGAGAAATGAAGTTGTAGATACAGAACCAAACTGGTGATATAAAGCTCCCTGGGATTAGTAGGGAAGATGCAGAATACTAAAGCGGGGTGGCAGTGCGCAGGTAGGTGACCATGGGATGCTGTTCAGCTGCACAAGCCTTCGGTTGTTTCTCCCATCGGTGTCCCTCAAGCTGACAAGAAATGTCTCATTAATATGTAGCTGTGGGAGTATGTGTGTGCATGGAACCCGTATAAAGAGCTTTGTGTAGCACAATGTACTGATAAACCGCGAGACCTTCGCTAACCAGATGTTCTCTGAAGTTGACATTTCTCAGACAAGTATCTGCTTAATTCCATCTTTATTTAGAGAAACACTGACAGGGAGCCCAGGGAAGAGTGTGCTGCCAGAGCTGCATCTCTGTTTTAGCATTTGTTTCCTGCTTTCCATCCCTTGTCATGCTGTGCGGGGCCAGCACCAACAGGTTTCAACCTACACAGTTGAAATCTGGGATTTGAACTGGTATAAGCACCATGTTTCATGCCTCTGGAATGAAATTGTGACCTGGCCAGTCTCTCCCTGCTAAAGGAAGAGCTAAAGGGAAGCCAGGATCGTGGCACGATGTGTGAATCAAAGAGGTACTGCTTCTCTCATCGCACTACACTGCCAAGGAGCATGCATTTCTTCTCCCCATTGCATTGTAAAGCAAAACAGGCAGTGATAAAGCCTTAATCATTGTATTATGGCCATTTATGCATTTATTTAGGAATGATTTGGTAACTGGGTCTAGACATTTCTGCAGGGTCCAGACAATTCTCTCTTTGCTGCCTGGAGCTCTGCTCTCATTCAAAAAGAGACCTCACCGCAGAGAGAAGTTCACAGGGAACTGGATCCAAAGCAAACTAGAGGAACAACCTCTGTGCTGAAAGATATGCCACCATGAGTCAAATTTAAGGCCTGAGATGTCAGCTCCTTCCTAGCCTTCTGGGAAGAGCAAGTCTTAAAATAATGGAAAAAAAAAAAAGAAAGAAAAACACAAGGTATCATCTTGTAGGAGTGTGTGGGAGAATACAGCATAGCGATGCAGGCAGCTGGAAAACAGGAGCTGCTGCTAGGCAGAGAGGCAGATAGCTGCAAATGCCACTGAAACCCATTCAGCTAAATTCATTTTTTGCAAACTGGTGTGTTGGAGCTTTTATCTCAAAGCATCCTGCAAGTCTTCCAACCCGAACAACAAACTTCATTCACCCTCTGTTGTAAAACAAGTGCTACTCCATAAAGATATTTGATGGTTAATGAGCATTTTACAGCAATATTTGAAAGTTTATGCTGTGAAATGAAAAATTCTGCATTCAGGTACAGTAGAAAGGAGGATTTATGCTAGCAGAAGAGCATTACCAGTTTGGCCACTTCCAGCTTCCTGAAATGGCTTGCATATTTGTAAGTTGTGCCATGGGACTTAAAGCCACAAGCAATCAGAGTTTTGGTTTTGCATGTTGTGCTGCAGGCCGGGATGTGCAGCACCCCAGAAAGGCCCCACGCGCGGAGCTGCTTGGGCTAAAGGGAATCGTGTGACCAGGATCCCTGTCAATCCTGCCTGCAGCAGCAGCGCAGGGGGTTCCTTGGCAGCCCCCCAGTGCAGAGCTGGCCCAACGCTGTGTTTCAGCAGTCACGTCTGATGAGGGATGATGAGGGATGAGAGGAGCAGAGCAGAGAGAGGTTGGCAGGTGAGGGCGACCTGGTCGTGCCCCTTCTCAGCCACTGAGACTTCCTTCAGTTTGGGTGGGAAAGATGAAATCTGCAGCTGTGTGGCATCAGGGAAGCCAAGGGGCCCTCTCCATTGCCCTTTTCCAAGAGGACTGCCATTTTCCCCTTACGTTTAAATTAAGAGGCAGCCGGGGATGAATGCACATATGTACATACATGTGTACATGAGGGAAAAAAAAGAGCA